TTTTTTTTTTTTTTTTCCATTGGTTAGCAAGACCATAAGGTGAAAATGACATTTGCAATTCCTATAATGTAATTTTTCCTCTATCTGAAAACCGTCGAATCATTTTAATTTTTGTTATTCATTATTTGTGTGTGTGTGATGAAATACACATAATTATGTTTTTTTCCAGAAAATCTTGATCTCTTTTCTCTTTTGCAGGCTACTAACTCATTGTTGCGCGGAGCCTTACATAATCGCGACAAATAGGCAACTGAGTTCAATGCATCCTATTTACAGATTATTGCATCCTCATTTACGTTACACAATGGAGATTAATGCTCTGGCTCGTAAGTCCCTTATCAATGCCAATGGTATCATCGAGTCATCATATTCCCCGGGCAAGTACTCGATCGAGTTGTGCTCTGTTGCGTATGACAAGCTATGGCAGTTTGACTTACAGACACTACCGGCAGATTTAATCTACAGGTGAACTATTTAATGAGTATAACCAAGTTTTCTGTTTAAAAGCCTGAGGCAAGTCCTGTCTTCATGTTAGGTCAGTCACCTAAAAATAATTTTTTTAAACTAAAAGAAAAAGGGAAAAATTACCAGAAAATAAGGAACTCTATAAGGGAAAATTGTGAAATATCTCAAAAGGGGACCCAAGAAATAAATAATAAAAAAAAAAAATGGGTGTATTCATTTGGGATTTCTAAGGACTTTCAAGGCTTCAAAAATCCTGGTATATTTAATTTAGATATTCTAATACTTTTAAAAGTCTTGAGGTATTCATTTGCGATTTTAAAAAGTCTTACAAAATTATGAGGTATTTAACTTATTCGAGACTAAAATTTATTTAGACTTCTTAATTTTTGCTGAGATTTTTAAGGAAAAAAACATGTATCAGATCTCATTTCAAATCCCACCTTCAAACTTAAGATTTCACATCATTCCTCCTAAATCTAAAAATCTTAAAAAGTCTTAAATCTCAAAGAGTATCAAAATGTCATTCGAAATCCCCAAATGAATACACCTTAAAATCCCTACAAAGATAGGAAACCTTTATGAAAACCTAAATATGAATTAGCAAACTGAAAAGAAAACTCCCAAAAAATTGGTAACCATAACTGAAAACCTACAACTGTGACTTAGTTTCTTCAGACACATACCTGAGATTTGTATCTACCTTACTAGTATCCCTCTTTGAAGTTGCAACTATAGGGGGAAAAAGACGAGCACAAGTCAAGTGTCGTTCTCTTGTCCTGAAAGATAATATTTCATTTCCCAACAATAAAATTATTCCATTTCGATTACAATGCAACTCCAGGGGAATGGCTGTGGAGGATCCAACTGCGCCTCACGGCCTGAAGCTAACAATCGAAGATTACCCTTACGCAAATGATGGTCTGCTTTTATGGGACGTCATCAAACAGTGGGTCACAGATTATGTCACGCACTATTATCCAGAACCAAACCTCGTCCAATCAGACAATGAACTTCAATCATGGTGGATAGAGATCCGAACAAAGGGCCACGCGGACAAAAAGGACGAACCCTGGTGGCCCGAGCTAAAAACTCCTCAGGACCTAATCGGGATCCTCACGACCATCATATGGGTGGTCTCGGCCCACCATGCGGCTGTCAACTTCGGCCAATTTGATTATGGGGGCTACTTTCCAAACAGGCCCACCATAGCCCGGATCCAGATGCCCACTGAAGACCCGAGAGAGGAAGAAAAGAAGAAGTTTCTCGAGAGGCCTGAGGAGTTTCTGTTGAGGTGCTTTCCTTCGCAACTTCAGGCGACAATCGTGATGGCTGTTTTGGACGTTTTGTCTAATCATTCGCCTGATGAGGAGTATATCGGTGAGAAAATCCAGCCGTTTTGGGCCGAGGATAAAGTGATAGCTGCTGCTTTTGAACGGTTTAATGGGCGGCTGAAGGAGATTGAGGGGATTATTGATGGTAGAAATGCGGATACACGCCTGAAAAATCGGGCCGGGGCTGGTGTGGTGCCGTATGAGCTTCTGAAGCCGTTTTCGGAACCTGGCGTGACGGGGAAAGGTGTGCCGAATAGCATCTCGATTTGAGATTATGACATGTTATTTGTACATTTAAATTTTATGTGAAGTTGAAATAAGAATAATGTGTCCTGTATCTTTTATTTGGAATTATTGGGTTTGATACTAAAATTTCGTTGAAGTTCAGCATTCATCAGCAATGGTTTTTTTTTTTTTTTTGGCCTAACAACGAAACCCCAAAGCCATAGACATCGATCTTCACGTTGATCTTCGTGTTCCTGAACCAGGAGCCACGTATGACGTACCCCTTGGTCCCCCGAATGTTGGTGCGTGCGTGTATTGCTTTGGTCCATCCTAAGAATCTTGGCCAGCCCGAAAGATATCATGGCATTGAAGTACTCGTCGAGAACAACATTTTTGAAGATTTATGTCACAGTGAATGATATAACCGCTGCATTAGATCACCCACAATGCATTGAGTCTCTTAATAAAATATCATATGCCACATAGGAAATAGTCTTAGTTTATTAAAAAAATGTCTTTCGATGCAATTAAAGGTGGACATGGTGGCAAATACAGGGCACATCTTGCTAGGTGTGCTAGGGCCTTACATGAATTACATCCCCTCTAAAGGCACGTGAGAGATAATGAGGTAAGTTTTTTTTTTTTTAAATGGACATGTGTCCCATTTTTATTGGGTAATGAATTTCATTTATCATATTATATAAATTAAATTATCATTCATATTTTGTATCAAAAAATAAAAATAAAAATACCAAAATTCATAATTTTTCATTCTCTACAAATAGAGATCATATTTGATATTTTTTGGAACACAATTAATTTATCATTTTTTACAATTAATTTATCTTATTGGAAGATTATGACGCAAACCTATAATTAGATGAATATGTTACATTTATCTTATTGGAAGATTATAACGCAAATCTATAATTAGATGAATATGTTATATAGTAAGATGAACATGTTATAGAGTAAGATGAACATGTCATAGAATAAGATGAAAATGTTACATTTTCACAGATGAAATTTAGATGAACATATTCTAAAATAAGATGAACACGTTACATAATAAAATGAACATGTTATAGAATAAAATGAACATGTTACATAATAAAATGGACATGTTATAGAATAAGCTGAACACGTTACATACATAATAAAATGAACATGTTACATACATAATAAAATGAACATGTTATAGAATAAGATGAACATGTTATAGAATAAGCTGAACATGTTACATACATAATAAAATAAACATCTACATATATAAAAAAGTTTGACATTTACTTGAAATAGAAATTGAATTCCCGCCTAAAATTTTAAAGTTACTAAACTTGGCAATATTTTTTTGAAAGTTTTCAAAAAATTCCACCTAAATGTGTTTTTGAAAATTTTTAGAAAAATTAACATATAAATATTTAAAGAAAAAGATTACATATCACATTTAGATTTGTTTGGATACATTCATTATCTTAAATTCCATAATATAAGATCTTCATTAACTTTTAAAATACTGAACATTATTCTTTATCTTAAATTCCATAATATAAGATCTTCTCAATTAACTCTTGAAAAATCACATAAATTTAATTAAATTATTATAGCGTTTTAATTTATACTACTACACATTTTTTGTTTAACATTTTTAGAGTCTCGAGGTTTGGGTCTGTGCAATTATCGAGCTTGTGCAATTATCGAGTCATGAAGAATCATTAATTTTTTTTATTATTAAATTATGTTTAGAAACTGATTTATGTTTTGAAATTAAATTACGATTTTTAGTTTTGAAATTAAATTATGTTTGATACAACCACATATAATTTTTTATTACAATCTAATTTATCTTTGTATTTCAATTAAAGTATGTTTATATATATATATATATATATATATATATATATATAGTAATAAACGATTTCATCTTAGGGATTAAATAATATTACTTAAGAAAAACGATATATGCAAAATATTTATTGTATTAAATATAATTTTTATCTTAGAATTTAAGTTATATTATATTTGATGATATAAATATTTATCACTACGAATCTTATTATTTAATGAGCATTTTTAGTTTATAAATATTAATTAATATATTTTACCCGTGCAAGAATACAATTAGTTAGGATAAACCTATCGATTAAGATAAAAAGGAGAGAGATTTACTTGAAATAATATACAAATTCCCGCCTAAAAAATTTGATTTTACTATATTTGATAATTTTTGATTTTTTTTTTAAATGGGCGGCTAACTTTGAAATGGAAATTCAAATTATGAAAATATGAGATTTTTTAGTAAGATTCGTGAAAATATTCGCAAAAAATCGATCAATCATTTATTTATATTTTTCCGGTCAAACGTACAAATTTAGTTACAAAAATCCCGCCATCATTTACCAAATAAAATAGATTTTTTTTTTTGAAAAGTCATGCCAACTTAATTGTTAAATATTTTTTTCTCCATATTTATCTAATTACAAATCCCATATTTTATGGTCACAACTAAAAAAATTTATTTATCTAATAAAGAATGTTAATTTCCAGAAAAAAAAAAAAATATATCATATTTCGGATTCTTTAACTTAACTAGTACGAATCCCGTGCGATGCACGGGTAAAAGATATTCATTAATATTTATAAATTAAAAATGTTCATTAAATCATATTTATAAATTAAAAATGCTCAGTAAATAATATTTATAAATTTAAAATAATGAATCAATATGTTATATGAAATTTGCGTATGGGTAAGAGATAAGAGATACTCGTTAATATTTATAAGTTAAAAATGCTCATTAAATAACATTTATAAATTAAAAACATGGAATCAATATGTAATACAATTTACCTATATTAATTAATTAAAAATGTTTCATGAAATTTAAATTATTCAAAATTACATAAAATACCTCAATTTAAAATTAGTATACAACTCGTACGGTGCACGTTCTGATAATAAATTACATTATACTCATTTCAAAATAAGTGTCATTTAAAATTTTTTATTATGAAATTTTATTTGACTTAAATGTGAATCCATAAAATAAATATTTTGATAAAAATTTATAATATATTTAAAAATCTATGAGAATAATAAGATAATTATAAAACTCATATTGTTTCATTGATTAAAGTAAATTTATATTTCTATAAACTATCAAATAAAAAAGTTAAGTAGTTGAGTAATTTATCAAACTCTAGATAATTGACTATCCGGTTGATAATGGTATAAGATTTGTTTGCTTGATCATATTAAGTATCACTTTTTTTAAATGATTTTATAAGACATGTTTTTTTAATCCGTAATTTTAAAAACTTAAATTATATAATAAAACGATAAGATTTGTTTTCAAGAGATAAACATGTTGTATATTTATTTATTTTTTTTTAATGTATCACGAGGTTTTACCAAAAAAAAAAGAACTTGGAATTTTGTTTCCAAAAATAAAAAAAAAAATCACGTGTATTACTTAATTTTTTTTAAATAATTATGAATTTTTGAAAATACAAAAGAATTTTGTCAATAAATCCAAAAGAAAATTTGCACCTATATTTCAAAAGATTTTGTTTCAAGTGATAAAATTTGTCAAATTTTGTTATTTTTTTGGGAAAATAATCTTAATGTAGGTATTTTATTTTTACCACCAAATGTCTGCACATGTTTACCAAAACTTATTATATGAATTATTGACAAAAGAAATATAGTTCGATTTTAAATAAAATATGCTATGTTCGTATATATAGTCAAATGATCGCATTATCCGATATTTAAAAAAACTTACATTATCCAATTATTTTATAAGAGATAAGCATATTAATATCATTTTTTCAGAATGTATCATGCAGGTTAAAAAAATTTGAAATTAAAATTTTGTTCATAAAAAAATTACATTGATATAGGATATTATACTGGACCCGATTTATAGATAAAGCGGATACATATTGGAGGATGAGCCCACTAAGACATCTAAGCCCAACTTGGGCCCAAAAGGTACACTCCCCTATAAAAGGGGGCCAAGGTACCACACTCACTCACTCTCTCTATTCATTACATCACTACATTTACTCTCTTAAGCTGAGCACTGACTTAGGCATCGGAGGCCCGACGCCGGGGCCCCCCCCGGCGTTGGGTTCTGCAGGTACGGAGGCCGGTTCGAGTTGAAGGAGCCCGGGTGAATCTTATTCACTTCATACATGATCCCGCATTATTCAAAATGATTATATCGGATTTGTTTTTTAATCTTAATGATAAAATTTATTTCCAGGAGATAATTATGTTGTATATTTTTTGTTTTATAGAAATAGAATGTATCACAACATATTCATCACAGTATAATTAGAAGCACAATTCAAACTTCAACATTATGTTGCCAAAATCAAAATATAAAATTAAAAAAAAAAAAAAATAAATCAAAGGTCTAGTAGTCCAAGAAAAGCAATACTAATCGCAAAACGATGAGTCCTACAACTCATTAAGGCAAAAAAAATGACTGGTTCGAACATGACCTAGTATTCTTAAACCATTAATAAGAAGAATAATCATCCAGCAAGAAAAATCTATATAACCAAATAATCAGCATTCCATCAGTCATATTTCATCACTTCAACCCCAACAATCACTCAATCCACTTACCTTTAATGAAACTAAATATTTCGTATGTTGCATCTTAATTTTTCTACCTCAAGCTCTTGTTTCAATGACTCGACCAACTCGAGCAAATCCATACTTTCCTTATACTTAAGAGGTTCGTCTCCTCTAAAGACACGTCCTACCATTTTATTATTTCATAAAATACACTGACAAAAATACCAAGACTACAAAAAACCATAAATTACTATCAATTTTCATTCTGTCTAGAACTCTAGAATGTTATGTTACCCAACAATAAACTAATGCCTCAAGTCAATATGCCTAAAATGCAGTATGCAGCGAGAAAAATAATTCAAGTGAAATAGAACTAAATTAACAAATGCTTGAAACACATCTCTCTAGCTCACTTAAGCACTTGGATGCCCTCTAAAAATCGCCAATGAATCTCCTTC